CATATTTGCAAATATTAAAGCATTTCTAAATCATTGATTCTCTCTTTTATCAAGTTAATAATTTTTACATCTATTTTGTACAATTTGTTGGCTTTAGTCTACCTAATAATGCTCATTACATTGTAAACTGAGGGTGAATTAAAAATTTTCCTATTTTTTATCCTGTATAGAAATGCTGGTGTCTATGTGTTGCATAACAAAAATTCACCTAGCCTAAGTGCTCTCAACTGGTAACAGTAAGATTATTACCAAAAGAAAAAATTATGAGAGGGTTCATACCACCTATACATAATGTAATAGGTTCATAGGAATTCAAATAAAAAGCTGAATTAGAGTAGAATTAGATTATTGAGTTTAGTTTTGTCTAACTCTTATAATACTTTCTGATACCTAAATATAACTGGAAAAAATAAATCTCATATATGCAAAGTCCATAGCAAGGAGAACATATTGACATAACTACTTTCTGGAACATTGTTCAGGAATAAGTGTTAAATAGGTAGCATCCCCTTACCAAAAATACTATGGATTTCTTGTTTTTCACATGCCACCTAACTTAAAACAATACTCTTAGAAATTATATGATAGTAAAACCCTAGCAGATTTAATTTTAATTTAAGATAAGACCAATATTGAAAATGAACCAAAAAGCAAATTCTATCAGATTTAGAATAAAAATAATGTTATTTCTCTCAAAAACAAAGCAACTCCTGAAGTTAATGTGATATAACTGTAGAAACCCTGAAAAATAAAAATAAACAGCAACAACAAAAATTCCTGTTGCTCATTACTTCTGATTAATGCATAAAAACACCAGCATATACACATAAACAGCCACACAGTCTGGACTGTGTAAAGGTTACATGCTCTGGGTTTTGTCCATGATTTGTTTTCTATGTGTTTTCATTTCTGTTTTATTCATACAACATTTGTTTCACACATTTCTCCATCACTAGAACATATAATTTGCAAATAATAGTGCTATGGACATGGAAAATTACTTAAAGACTACCCAAAGGAGTTTTCCACCAATTTCGTTCTTATGAACTGTATGGAGCCCTAATAATTGCTTGGATTATGAATAAAATTGTACTATTTTTCATGAGGTATTGAAAGTCTAGTGGCATGAACACCAGTTCCTAAAAAGAAAAGATTGCATAGGCATACTCTCCTGTTCCTGTTTCTGAAAATAAAAAGTAACCAAAGAACATGAGAACCAAGTGGTATAAAGCAGTGTTGCTAAAATTCCTTCCTGGAGGGAGATGAAACTAAGGTCTATCCCCTCTTCTAGTGAAGATACTAAGCTTCCTGACAGAGCATAGGTGAGGAGATACTAACAGGAATGTGGGCACTCTTTCCCCATTGGCCACCACCTAGAAAGCCTCAGCCAGTGGAAATGAGGGCTTCCCCATAGCCACCTAGATGGAGTCCCCTCTCTGGTATTCCCCTTGGCAAATATACAAATACATATATTAACCCCTCCTCCAAGCCACATACAGAATTGCCAGTTTGTAAGGAACAGTTGTATACTTGGGGGCAGGTATAAATTGTCAATAAGCCAGCTAAGATGACCTTTTGCAAGGGGGCAGAGCTTGCCTACAGACAGCAGTTACTGGGCTCTAAGGACAATAAATCACCCATGATAAGCAGCAATTTCACCCATGGAGTTTTTTGATGTTTGCTTTGAGTATGTTAGCTCAGTTGTGCTGGGAGAAATGGCATCACTGTTTGAATGGAAAGAACATTTTCATCAGAGATAAATCAGCTGAAGTTGTCTTTGTGTCTGAGAATAGAATATGTAGACAGTAAACCAGAGTCCAGGGAGCAAAGACTGGTGAGATCCTGTGAAGTGTGCTGTGGGACCTCAGCACAAAGAACAGAATAAGACCAATGGCTGAATTTGCAAGAGATTAGAGTTGAGAGACTGATTGACAAGTACAATCAAGTTCAAGGATGATAAAAACCTGTTCGGGGGAAGTCCTGTGCATTTGTCAATAAAGCACTGCTGGCCAATAGGAATCTAGATAGGTGGGACTAGGAGTCCAGGAGAACTCTGGGAAGGAGAAACACAGAGAGTCAAGATGTAACGCCATGGGGTAGGAAGCCTGGAACTATTCTCCGGTAAGAGAAATACTTAGATTAACAATTATGGGGTAATTACTTAAGTCAGAGCTAGCCAGTAAGAAACAAGCAAGGCCAACAGCTTCATAATTAATTTAGCCTCCTGTGTGTTTATTTGGGACTGATGCGGTTCTAGAACCAGGCTGGCGGGAAGGCTTTCTCTAAAGGAAAAAGCTTCCCTTTGCATAAACCTCTTAATCGAAGATGGTAAAATATGACAGGCCCTGATTCTCTGAGGCAAGGATATGTATGTGATTCCTCAATGGACCGTGCCTGCCTTTAGGCTGTCAGATAAACATTCCCTGTCTCCAATTTGAAATTTCAAACTACATAAATGCCATTTATTCATAACAAGGACACCTTGTCTAAGCAACTAATCAATGTACTACTTATTTTTTTCATTTGGTTAATGAATGCTAAGTATATAATTTGAATTTTTCTTCAAGTTCTTCTTATGTTTCTGACCAGTTTCTTAGGAAGAACGTCCCTATTCCATATTCTGTCCAAGATAGAGCCTGGTATCAATAGAATGTTCAGCTCCCAACAAAAGGACTCAAAGTATTCTTCCCTTTATTTTGATGAATCCTATTAGCACCTAGGTGCTTATTGATGTAAAGAACCAGTGTGCAAGTTGGATATTCTTTATAAGATAGCTCGTAAGAATGTGGACACATAGCTGGGCATATTAGTGTATGCCTTTAACCCCAGCACTCACTTGAGAGGCAGAGACAAACAGATCTCTGAGTTTCAGGCCAGACTGCTCTATAGAGAGAATTCCAGAACAGCCAGGGTACACAGAAAAATCCTATCTCAAAAACAAAATTAAAAACAAAACAAAAAAGAAAGCATGTAGAGATACATTTATATTAGAAATTCAATTAACTTTATATTAAAAGATAATTAAACTGAGATAGAGATTATTATTAATTATTGTTGCTTGTAGGGATTTTAATACTCTCTGAGCACATGTAACAGGCACTATGAAGTTATAGTCCTGCTGCTTGAGGTATCTGAAACTCATGCAAATACAACATAAATATTCTCTTCATTAAGAGAATTAAAAGGCCACCCTTTGGGTAATTCATCACTATTTCAATTCTTGTGCTTATAGTATCAGTAAGCAATAACCCAGTATCATAGCTTAAACATTCTCCATAGCATGATTAACAACAGTAACCTTCCTGCTTTGTCTTTGCTGCTTTCTCTATCTGGGTAGCTAAAGATAACAGAGCAAATGGATTTTTAGGATTAGCTCTAATTACATTATAGCGCACTGAATTTTATAAAAACTGAACAAATAATGCCACCATAAACTAGTTATTCTTTTTCACTGAAGGACTCTTGATTTCTTTTGTGTTCATATGAGCTACAATCCATCTCACTCATATGATGCTGTATTTGCTTTCAACAGACTCAAGGACACTAGGTAACAGGTGGCATCATAGTACCCACTTAGTAGGCTGTAATTATAACAATGTCAGCATGTTTCATGTTAACATATTAAGTTAAAAATATCTAATACCTTAAAAATTAAACACACACTAAACCTCGATAAGAAACTTGTCATTTTAATGTTTCGGAGAGGCACAGCCTCACCGTACAAGATGAACAGCATATGTTCACCATTTTATAAACGCTTTCTTATTACAATCCTGTGGGTGAGACTCAGTGTTTCCGTTTTACTGATGAGAAAAATCTCATCTTATGTATCAGTCAAAGCTACACAGTTCATTGGGGGTAGTTACAAATGATATGTATATCAATCTGCCTGACAGAGTTAGGGTTTTTCTTCTAGAACAAAACCTCGTAAGAATAGTAAGACCAAGTGATGCTAATAAAACACAGATAAGAAAATGCTTTGAGTGATTAAAAAACACTTTTAGAATTCATTCAGAAGAAGGGAGTAGTGAGGTCAATTCATTTTAGAGATGAGGATACAATTATGTAAGTTAGCTATAATTAAGTATTTTTTGCCCTTATTGAGGTATTTTTAATGAAAGGAGTTGTACATCAATTTACAGTCTGGTGAAAGTTTCCAGTCCTTCACATGGACCAATATTAGTAAGTAAATAACCAGTCCATGGACTACTCCTTTTAGCACAAATTGTAATTAGTCTTAATAATAAAAACAATGAGTCAGATATTAGGGGGTGAAGGCTGAAGGATCAGAAAAGCAGAGCAGTCAGTCCCTAGCTTTTACCTCTACCTCAGACGGAAAGGGCAATCCTGTCTCTACAAATCCTCAGACTGAATGCAATGAGATCCTGTCTCCTTCCTTATTATATTCCTCTCTGCCCAGCCATATCACTCCTGTCTCCACCTCCCTAGAGCTGGGATTAAACCACCACCTGGCTCTGTTTCTCTTTTTAGACTGGATCAATTTCATGTAGCCCACGGTGACCTTCAGCTCACAGAGATCCCTCTGCTTCTGTCTCCCAAGGGCTGGGATTAAAGGTGTGTGCCCCTGCCTGGCCTCTATGGCTAACTGGTGTGGCTAGCTCTGCACTCTGATCTTCAGGCAAGTTCTATTTGTTGAAACACAAACAAAATATCACAACACTCCTTAAAGGTCTCAAGCTTAAAGAGCTTCTGGAACTTCCCTTTTCTCTATGTATGTAAATAATTTTGGATAAGAAATAATCTTCAAAGTTATCCTGGTTTTCTACTTACAAAAATAATAAGAAAATTTCATCCCTTATCTAGCCTACAAATTACAATGAAGGCTAATGTCTAAAGCCAGTAAATCTATGATGACAGTATTTATAAACTGGTCTTTTTCAAAAAGGCAAAAGAAAGGGACTTTCTGGAGCAACAGCAATTGGCTAACAAATACCATGATGCCTACAGCGGAACATAAATATTATATGTATTATTCATACCTGCACCTCCGCCTATGCTCAGAATCTTAATTTCTGCTTTTGTTTCACCAATCCTGAAAAGCAAGCAAACAAACAAAATTAGAGAATTTAGGAAAATCACCAAAAGTGCTTTGCAATTCTATCAACTCCACTGAAAAGCAAAGACTAATGGATAACTGGACAGTCATATCTGTGGTTCTTTATTTGTATTGCTCTTTTTTAGAGTCCCTGAAAACACAGGTTCCATCTCTTTCTTGTACTTAGAAGACACAGAAGCACCACTATAAACATCTCACATGGAAAAGCTGGCATTTCTTTGGAGACTAGAACACATGTTTCTGTGGACCTTTTATATGGATGACATAAACCCTGGACCTGTATGTGTGTTTCCTCTTGCTTCCCCCTGTTTTCCTTTCAATAAACAAATATGTATTATGTGTATTGTATGTCTATCCTAGGAATCAACTTTTTAAAAAATGAGTAAGTACATTCAATATAAAATCAGAGTGCATTCCACCCAGGGCATGGGGAGAAAATTCTCAGGGCTTCTTTCAGATGCAAATTTAAAGGTCAGGAAAAAGTCTGGGTGCACAATTGCTGTCCTGGACAAAAGGGAAAAGGGAGTGTTCGAAAAAGAGATGACAAGATAGACTAAGTTTTCAAGTTTTTCCTAAGAAATTTTAATTTAGCAGATATTTGTAAGTGAAGAATTTAAGAAGAAACGCCTGGATCAAGGATGAAGTCCTGAGAGTTATCATAGTAAGTTCAATATTCTGAAATTTTCAAAATTCAGTAAACAAAGCAACAGAGACAAACAGAAAAACAAACAAAAAATCGCATCTCAAGAATGTAGTAAAACTGAAGAAATAGAAGAAAACACGTTAGTCAACACTACTGAAAAAATTTTAAAAGAAACTAAAGATTTTGATATGGACAAAAGTATTAGTTAAAAATAGTTGCTTTTGGAGAGTGAAATTCATAGACAAAGTATTTGGGGAAAAGGACTACTGTCTGCTGTTGTTATCTGCTTTTTAAAATCATTTGCATTTTTAAAATACAAAACATTTTATTTAAAAAAAAAGTATTGCACTAAGTATGCAATTGTCTTGCCCAACCTCACACTTTAGTAAACTCTTCCTTGAAGACACAGGGAGGTTTGGAAGCATTTTATAGTACCATGTAACTTTTAAACTACTTCAAGCAAAAAATGGAGCTCCTTTTGCAGAATTTTTTTTTTGTTTTTTGTTTTTTGTTTTTTGTTTTTTTCGATACAGGGTTTCTCTGTGTAGCTTTGGAGCCTATCCTGGCACTTGCTCTGTAGGCCACACTGGCCTTGAACTTGCAGAGATTCACCAGAAGCTAATTTTTTAAACACTTTTATTATATATTTAAATTAGAAACAAGCTTGCTTCCCATGTCAGTCCCTGCTCCCTCTCCTCCCCTCCACACCTGCTTCTCCCCACCAGCTCCTCCAGCCCCCCACCCAATCCCCACTCCGTTCCCCAGGTAGGATCTCTAGAGTCTGTCATTTCGTTCCTGGAGGGTCTAGGCCCTCCCCCAAGTGTCCAGATTTAGAGAGCATCCCTCATTGTGGGATGGGCTCCCAAAGTCCATTTGTGTGCCAGGGATAAATACTGATCTACTACCCAAGGCCCCATAGATTGCCTAGGTCTCCTCACTGACACCCACATTCAGGGGGTCTGGATCAGTCCCATGCTGGCCCCTCAGCCATCAGTTTGGGGTCCAAGACCTCCCCTTTGTTCAGGTCAGCTGTTTCTCTTGGTTTCACCAGCCCAGTCTTGACCCCTTTGCTCATCACTCCTCCCTCTTTGTCACTGGATTCCAGGAGTTCAGTTCAGTGTTTAGCTGTGGGTGTCTGCCTCTGCTTCCATCTGTCACTGGATGGAGGTTCTAGGATGGTATATAAGATAGTCTTCAAAATCATTATCAGGGAGGGGCATTTAAGGTAGTCTCTACACTACTGCTTATTTTGCCAGTTGGTGTCATCCTTATAGATCTCTGGAAATCTCACTTAAATCTCTGGAGCTCTCCCCTCAAACCTAGAATGACTCCCTCTATTATGGTTATTTCTAATCCTGCTGTCCTCTATTCTTCCCCCAACTCAAGCTTCCTGCTCCGCCATGTCCTCCTCTCCCCTCCTCTTCTCCCCCTCTCTTTTTCCTGGCTCCTTCTCCCCTCCCCCCAGAATCTAATTTTAAAGGGAAAATATATTCTTTCTTCTTTTCTTTTTCATTCTTTCATTTTCTTTTTTGTTTTCTTTGAAACAGAGTCTCACATTGTAGACTATACCAGTCTGGAACTCATGATCTTTGTGATGATATATTGTTTATGGTCTAATAAAGCTTGCCTGGATATCAGAATGCAAAACTAACCATAGCCATAGACACCAGGCAGTGGTGTTGCACACCTTTACTTCCAGCACTAGAGAGGTACATAATATAGGAGCAGGATCTCAGCCAGGGCAATTAGGCTCCAGCCATGCTGAGGACAGGATGGCCCCAGCCTTGGGAGAGGTAAGATCTCTCTGGTTGCTTGCCTGTTTTGCTTTTCTAATCTTCAGCTTGAACTTCAGTATCTGCCTCTGGGTTTATATTATTCCTGCTACAGATACTGCCTTTGCCTCCTAAGTGCTGGGTTACAGCATGGGCCCCCATGTCTAGCAAAACTGCTTCCTTAAAATAATGACATTTGGATTCAGATATTCATAACCTTATGTATTACCATTGTAACATAAATTTAGTTAATAGCCAAAATCTCATGTCTTTTACAAATTCTACCCTCAACATTCCATCTAAACTGGATGCATCCAGAAGACAGAAGACAGGGTAGGGGCCACCTTAAGACTACCCTGAGAGGGTGAAGAAAACCAAGGATCCGGTTATGCTAAGGGGTGAATGTGTATTATACAATCTGAAAATGCATTGAGAAAGTAACCTATAACCTGTTCTTTTAGAAATGAGTAGAACGGTCCAAAGATGTAAATTATAATTTCAGATAAAAGCTATCTACTTGAAACTGCTTTTATTGTTTTTAGTTTGAATATGTCATACATTCACATAATAAGTTTTGATCAAACTCACCCAGTGTTCCTTCTGAAGGGACTAGCCCACTCCAGCATGTGGCTCTGGCAGGCCATGCCCTTCTCCCAGAGTTCCCTCTGCCTTGCTAAACACTGTTAGATTTCATTCCTAAAGCTAGTCAAGAAGGTCTATTCCCTCTCTTGACCACATCCTCTTCCTGAGGCTGAGCACCAAGGTCCAGCTGTAGAAGTATTGAAGTCCAGCAATCAAAAGCTCCCTTCAGTTCACCTAATTAACTTTGCCAATCCAAACACACTATGCATCCTAGCTCATTCTAACACAGGCCTCCCCTAAAAATTACACCAGCAAGGTCTTTTGTTGCTGTATTTATTTTGTTTGCTTGGTTTTTTGTTTTTTGGTTTTTTTTTTGGCCTGAGTCAGAAAGCAGCCACTTTAACTTTTCTTCCTCCATTAATATAAAATCTCTCTGTGAAAACAGCCGTTGAGGTGTGGTTTGTGTCTAATCCTCAGAGGAAGCCTCCACTCTGTAGGGATCTCCTTCCCCTTCCCCTGAAATGTCTCCTCTATCTCCCCACCACCATGTTTCCCTCCCAACTTCTTGTGCTGTCATCTGTAAATCCTAAATCCACTTATACTTAGTGGAATCTATCTATGAGTGCATCAGATGGGGTGTTGAGCCCATGGTAGAGATTTTACACCCTTTATCCTATTACACACGTCAATTCTTTAACCTTGTAAAGACAAAAAAATACAAGGCTGGGAAAATGACTCAGTAGATAAAAGGAGAAGAAGCAGGAGAATTCTGTATTTGTCCAACAAGTCTGCTCTGGTTAGACAGAAGAACTACCACAGGAAAGTAACTCCACAGAGAAATTCAGACAGCAAAAGATAAAATACCAGAATTGTATTTTGTTGTTTGTAAATTAGGTCCACAGTCAGTCATTTCTTACTAGTTTTCTATAGTTACTTCTTGAAACAGAACAAGTGGAAACAATTTATCCCCAGATAGGTGACTTGATTATCTTTAGCCTGTGGAATCCCTTACCTCGAAAATGCTTATCAGCTTTGGCACAAATTGAACACATTAATCAAAAATAAGTGATAAATAAGGGAGTCTGGAAGAGGCAAGAAACCAGTTTCACTGAGAAGGGTAAAACGATCCTTCTTCAGGATCACATTGGTAATATTAAGCTGAAAGCAAAAGACAGCTTTTGGCAGAGTGATTACAATAACAGATAAAGGAAATGAATTGAATTCATTAGAATTGAGAGGCACTAATTCTATGCTCTGAAGCAAACAGTATTCTGCAATTACTTAAATCTGAGTCTAAAGAAAAGAATACCAGTATCTATTTGGGGCTTTTTTTTTTTTAAACAAAATTTAAAAAGAAGCTAGAAAAAAAAATCTGAGGTTAATGATTTGTACCTTATCTTTTTCCAAATACGGTCGGGAAAAAAAATCTGAGGTTAATGATTTGTACCTTATCTTTTTCCAAATACGGTCGGGCTTGTGCCTTTAAAGCCTTCAAATGGTTAACACCCTGCGCTGCCAGCTATGCAGTAGCACAAATCAGTGTCTTGGTATTTAAAGCAAACACAGAGTTGCATAAGCAAGGCCAGCCGGTTTAGGCAAGGTCGGGCCGCAGCAGGAGGCTGAGACCCCCTCTAACTCTAATCCCGATGTCTCCTCCACCTCTGCCTACCGGTTGGGCTGTATTCCACCTATCCATCTTTGACCCACCGGTTAGCCCGTTGACAGAAACGCCTTTTTGTTACCTTGCTATTATGCCTGGCAGCTTCTTGTCCACGAATTCCTGCATGCACTGGTGTTCCGTGGAATTGTTTAGAAACCTCCGGAAAGATTCAACGTATCTGCTGTGGTCAGAAAACAAGCTTCTCATGCAAGATGCCATATTGGGTTCCCTATTAACGACAGGGAGGGGAGCTGCGTTTAACTTCCTCTCTTCCTAGTTCCTTCTTTTCCCTCTTTCCCTCCCCTCCCCCACCAGTTTCTATAACCCAGCCGTTCCCTCCACCCCAAACCCTGCCACATAAGGAAAAATTTAATACACGAATAAGAAATAAACCAGAGCACTTATGCGTGCTTTGCATTTGACATGCAGCTAAATCTGGCCAGCAGAGCTCAGTGAGGTAGGAGACTCCTGTGGGTGTTTTACCCCTTGCCCAGCGGCTTTCAGGAGACAGGCGGTAAAGCAGCCCAGTCCAGAGAAGCTGTAAAAGCATTCCAATCACTTCCTGTTTTTTTTTTTTCAGCAGCTGTCATAAGTGAGTTCCAAGTGGGCAAGAGAGCTGTTTTGTTTTGTTTTCAAGGCAGAACACTAGACTGACCAGGATTACTGCAAGACCATATAGCACCTTCAGAAACCCGGAGTTGGTAAAATCTAAGGCACCCCACAGCTGGCCCTGCATGATTGTTGTCTGGAGTTACCTGCCTTCATGTGTCTTGACTTTTGACTCTTAAGCCCAGCTGCTGTTTTGTTGCAATCAAAGCTGGAAATTTTTTCAAGTCAAGGAGGAGCATGAGAGCTTTAAGCTAAATTTAAAGTAGCCTGAAGCTGCCCATGTTCCCATAAAAGGATTGGCATTTGTACTCCTAATTCTGAGATTCTTGAAAATGAAAAATTCATCCTTGGTTACTTAGCGATTGCCCTAAGTCCCATTTTCATCTCTACATGGTTGTTAGCTAATAGATAGGAACAGAGGCAATAACTGCTCTTCCAAACAAGTTGTACGTAGACTCTGTTTCCTTAAGTAGTTAAAAATGTGTTTCTGTATTTACACTAGCACTGGAAATGTTGATTCCTTCCACTAGTGAGGTGTTCCGTTCTGTTCCGTGTTCTCCATGTCTTTCAGTATCACATGGAACTAAGGGTTACTAATAGCAGACATAATTCCACGGAGTTCAATCCTTTCAAAACTTAGTTCATGGGTTACTTATTGCTGTGCCTTCAGGAGCTCCCTCCCAGGACAGATGAGAACTCTTGAGACTCTAAGACACAGAGTACTTTGTTTACAGCATGGCAGCGAAATTGGGAAGGGCTGTGGAATATTTTAAGGGTGTAAAGCTACAGCTCCCACCATTGCTTCCATAAAAATCTTTATATTCAATCCAAACTTATCACCTTGGACCCCCAAGATAGAACTCCCATTACAGTTTGTCTAAACTAAGCAAACTGCATACAAATAATCTCAAAAGAAATGAAAAAAAAATGCTATAGTCCCCCCCCCACACACACACAGGCCCCATCAGGAGAAATACCTTTACAACTAAAACTCATGGAGAACTTCTAACCTTCACCATGGAAGGGTGTTGTTTCCTTGGAAATTGAATTGCTAGTTTTGAATATTAGCAAGACTCTTAATTTAATTTAATTGCCAAAGAAAGCATTAATTTAATTCCCAAATTCTTTGTCCACTCCCAGTAGTAATAGTTCAGGAACCTGGTTGTTCACACCCTCTTCAATACACAGAAAATACCATGCTTGTCTATGACTGTGCTAATTTGTTTTATGATAATTGTGAATATTAACTTTCATTCCATTCCATTGACAGTGAGACTAATGTTCATTCTGTTAGCTCTGTAGAGGTTCCATTCATTCCCTACACTCTCATTTCAATGGGATCCTTGTAGAGAAAATGGACCAGCCAAAGAAACACACCCTGAGCAGAGACAAAGAAACGCACTTTGGCCCTGCAACCAGAAACAAAAAAATGTACCCTGACCCTGAAACCAGTGCCAAAGAAACACACTTTATCTCTGGAATCAGAGTCAGTGAAAGAAATGCACTCTGGCCCTAAAATTAGAGCCAAGAGGCTAAAAGGGACCAGAGAAAGAAACACATTTTGGCCCTGAAACCAGAGCCAAATCTGATCCTACCGTGTGCAGAAAACTAACCAATCCTCTGGCAGGAGCTCTACCCAATCTGAGCTCAGCACTGAAATCTGACCAATCCCCACCCTGGAAGCCCTATATAAACCCTGTGTTTGTTCAGTTTGTGGCTGTTCATGCTACCCAGCTGTCATCTGCCACTGTAGATTCTCCTGTATTCTTCCCTCCCAATAAAGCCCTTCAATGAGCTTTGGGTGAAGATCTTCTTTTGCACCTGAGCAGAGACAACCCTGAATAGAGTAGAGTGAGCAGGGCTGTAACACTTCTGCCTGGGAAACCTTCCCCTGGCAGAGCAGAGTTGTTATACTCAGCTCTCCACTCTCTGCGAGCAGAGCTGAACAGGAGCAACTTCCCCGGGGGAACCTTCCCTGCCTGAGCAAAGCTGCTACACTGGGCAAACATCCCCAGCTGGAAGACCCTCTCCTGGCTGAAGCAGAGCCTATACACAGGGGAAGCCTTTCCCTGAGGCAGGACTGTAAGCTGCTATGCTTACTGTGGCCTGTGGTAGCCCTTGGCTCCCAAGCTCCAGGATACCTTTCCATCTGAGCTGTGTAACACTCAGTATTCTGTGACTCTGGAGTGCAAGAATGCCTGTCCCATCTGAGCTGCCCAAAATGCATACAATCATGATGCTTTTCTTTATGTGTATAAGCTATCTATAAATTAGATATGTTAATCTTTCTAATATTTTAACATGCATTTTTCTCAATATAACATTTATCTTTAAAAAATAAAAATAAAACCTAGTTGTTAAAAAACCTGAAATCAAGAGTTAGGACAACAGTAATCATTCCATAAGTTATTATATTTTTATATAATTTGTTCTTGATTCTCCTTGGTTGGAAAGACTGTGTTCCTTTTTAAAAATAATACTTGTGCCAGGCGGTGGTCAAGTTGTGAACACTTTCAATCTCAGCACTTTGGAGGCAGAGGCAGGTGGTTGTCTGTGAGTTTGAGGCCAGCCTGGTCTACAGAGCTGGTCCCGGACAGATAGGGCTGTTACATAGAGAAAACAAAACAAAACAAAACAGACACTTGTAAATAAGCACAGTATGACCGGTACAGGAGACAGCTTCCTGAACATAACTCCAGTAGCACAGACTCTGAGATTGACAATTAATAAATGGGACCTCCTGAAACTGAGAAGCTTCTGTAAGGGAAAGGACACAGTCAACAAGACAAAAAGGCAGCCCAAAGAATGGGAAAAGATATTCACTAACCCCACATCTGACAGAGGACTTATCTCCAAAATTTACAAAGAACTCAAGAAGCAAGTCTCCAAAACACCAAAGGATCCAATTAAAATGTGTACTACAGAACTAAATAGAGAATTCTCAATAGAGGAGTCTGTTAAGAGAAGCTTTTTCTTTTGATAGGGGCCTTCTCGCCCGCCTGGTTCCAGATCCGCATCAGTCCCAAATAAACACACAGGAGGCTATATTAATTATGAAGCTGTTGGCCTTGCTTGTTTCTAACTGGCTAGCTCTGACTTAAGTAATTACCCCATAATTGTTAATCTAAGTATGTCTCTTACCGGAGAATAGTTCCAGGCTTCCTACCCCAATGGCGGTTACATCTCGAACCCCTCGTGTTTCTCCTACCCAGAGTCCTCCTGGACTCCTAGCCCCACCTATCTAGATTCCTATTGGCCATCAGTAATTTATTAACAAATGCACAGGCAAATAACAGGACTTCCCCAACAGGAGTCTAAAATGGCTGAGAGACACTTGAGAAAGTGCTCAACATCCTTAGCCATCTGGGAAATGCAAATCAAAACAACCCTGAGATACCATCTAACTCCTGTCAGAATGGCTAAAATCAAAAACACCAATGACAATTTATGCTGGAGAGGTTGTGGTGCATGGGGAACACTCCTCCACTGCTAGTGGGAGTGCCAACTTGTACAGCCATTTTGGAAATCAGTATGGAGATTCCTCAGAAAATGGGAATAAACCTACCACAAGACCCAGCAACTCCATTCTTAGGTATATACCTAAAAGTTGCACATTCATACAAGGATGCCTGTTCCACTATGTTCATAGTGGCATTATTTGTAATAGCCAGAAGCAACCTAGATGCCCCTCAACTGAAGAGTGGATAGAGAAAATGTGGTACATTTACACAATGGAGTACTATTCAGGGAAAAAAAAAACAATGGAATATTGAAATTTGCAGGCAAATGAATGGCCCTAGAAGAAACCATCCTGAGTGAGTTAACCCAGTCACAAAAAGACAAACATGGTATGTACTCACTCATATATAGATTGTAGACATGGATCAAGGGAGTGCCAGTCTACAATCCCACTGCCAGAGAGTCTGGGAAACAGAACCTTCATCCAGTGACTGATGGAAGCAGAGGCAGACACCCACAGCTAAACACTGAACCGAACTCCTGGAACCCAGTGACAGAGAAAGAGGACTGATGAGAAAAGGGGTCAAGACTGGGCTGGTTTAACCCACAGAAACAACTGACCTGAACAAGGGGGAGCTCTTGGATCACAGACTGATGGCTGGGAATCCAGCATGGGACTGATCCAGACCCCCTGAATGTGGGTGTCAGTGAGGAGGCCAAGGCAATCTATGGATCCTTGGGTAGTAGATCAGTATTTATTCCTGGCATACAAATGAATTTTTGGTTCCCATCCCACAATGAAGGATGCTCTCTCAGCCTAGACTCTTGGGGGAGAGCCTAGGCACTGCCCTGAATCAAATGACAGACTCTGGATATCCCCAATGGAGGGCCTCACCCTCCCTGGGGAAGGGAGTGGGGATTAGGTAGGAAGCTGGGAAGCCTGATGTGGGGAGTTGGGGAGGAGGGGAGGGAAAGGGAGCTGGGATTGACATGTGAAGCAAGCTTGTTTATAATTTAAATTTAAAAAAAAAGAAAAAAATTAAGCTCAGTATGTCAAACCACTGGGACTAGAGTGTTGTTTCACAATGTTCTGCTTACTTGAAGATCTTCAAGATTTCATTCTAAAGTTTTTAAACTATGTAGTCAGATAACTTATAAAGAATGCTTATTTGGGTTTTCAATATGTATTAGCATATCAAAATTTTATTTAACAATTTTCACATGCTCTCTTGAAATATTTACTTATCTGTCATTTTCTGATTAGTTTTGCATACCAAATTCTTTTTTAAAAGAGGAAATCTGTTGCTTTCAGCATGACTTGCATTTTATTAAGCGCTGGTTTCAGCAACCACAGTTTCCCTCTTAACACTTAGTATAAAATATTTTTCCCAGTTCATAAATCACTTAGAATTTTCCATGGAATTGAAACATCAAGCTGTCTGGTTGGAATGGCCAAATCTCAAGACTCCTCCTTTTCCTCCCTTTGGAATATTAGACCTCACTCTACAACATCTATCACTGCAGTAACTTCTCAGTGATAATCAAATCATTATCGCCTTTA